CGAAAAAAAGACAAAAGAAAAAAATACACGATCTATCGCTTGACATGCTCTATATTTATACTAAATATTTTATACCAGATCAAATTCCCCAAGGTGGCGTATCAAGCTAGCCAAAACCTGGATACGCAGATTCAGACCCATGAGCATGGGTCATGCCACAGGAACCGCATCATGAACTCCAAACCAATCAACACTAAGCGCAACGCGCTTAATTGGAGCCTCAGGCAAAGTTCATGCACGACAATCCCATTCGTGTATATGACTCAATGACTACACCATGGCAGATTCAGTGATCTGTATCACCATCGCCTCATCCCTCACTCTCGCTCTCGTCCACCTCCTCCACCCTCGTCGACTCCATCTCCCCATTCACCCCCCTCAACACTGTCACGCGGTGCACCTTTCTTTTCTCCCAACGTCCAGCTGCCGCTCCCACTCCTCTATCATCCAAACCTGCCTCCCCACCACCATCAAAATGACCCGCCTCCGCCTCCTCTTCCTCCACATCAAAATCAAAATAAATCCTCTCCAACAACCCACACTGACTCGCCAACGCCCTCGTCGCGTCAATCTTCGAAAGCATGCTCGGTTCAGGCACCATCCACATCCTGAGTCGCACTTCACGAACGTGCGCGAAGCGGGTGAAGATCTCGAGGATCTTGTGCTGTTTTTGGGTATGTAAGTAAGGGTTCGTTCCTGGTGCTCCACAAAAAAAAAAAAAGAGACACAAAGAAAAGGACGGGGGGGCCAATAACATCGTCAAGAGAAAAAAAAGAGAGAAAGGCTCACCAAACTCATCCCCGGCGGTAAATCTCCCTCCCACACCTCCACCCTCGGACAAACCCCCGCAAAAATCTCCATCCAATCCATGAACGCATCAACATCTCCCTCCTCCCTCACCGCCCTCTCCCCCAACCTCATACAAAACCTCGTCAACACCGGCAGTCCCCCAACTCTCTTCAACGAATTCAACAAATCCCACACATCCGCCGCCGCATCCTCATCCTGGCCCGGTCCTATCTTCAAGCTCGTGAGCTGCGCAAGGGACGTGCACCCCTTCCGTGCAAGTGTCTCCACATTCGTCGTATGCGCATCAATAGCCTTGAGATTGGGTAAAAACTCCTTGGTGATCATGCTAGGATCAAACTCGGCATGATACGCGTCGTATCCTAATTTGAGCGATTGGATCGTCGGATGCAGGACGAGGAATCGGGTGAGCGATTCCGCGATGTCAAAATCGTCGCTTGTGTCGAAGAAGGGTCCGAATTCGAGGTGGAGGAGGTTGGGGAAGTGGAACGAGGTGGAGAGGTGGCGGAGTTGGGCGGTGTCGAAAGTGTCGACTTGGCCAGAGTAGGAGAGGTGCGTGAGCGTGTTGGCGCTGGCTTTGAGGAGGGAGAGGTCGGCGCCGCAGAGGACTGCTAAAATTAAAACGACGTTTCTTAGTGTGTGTTGTTGGAGATGATGGTGATGAGAGGGAAGAAGACTCACGTTCGCCACCCCAAAACACCTTCTCCAACCCCCTAATCTCAAACTGATGCGGGTACCCAACGAACCCATACCCAAGACACGCAGGTTCGTACCTAAATACGCGTAATTTCGGACAGCAGCTCGACAACACGTCTACGAGCTGTTTCTGCGTATGCGGGCCTGCAAGCGGCCAGCCGCGCAATGTGAGCTGGCGGAGGTTGACCATGCGCTTGATAGTGTCCAGCGGGATCCAGGTACGGTCGCCTTTGACTAGGGATGAAGATGATAATGCATCAGGGTCGGTGTTGATAGGCATCTCCACCCCCGTATCATCTACACCTGCATCTGCATCCAACCCTCCACCCTCCTCACTCCCCCCGACCCTCGTCGTCCTCAACTCCAACTCCTCCACCCTCCTCGCCAGAGTGGGATGCCCCTCCAGCATCGCACACGTCGCGCGTACGTGCGCGTGCGAGTTGTCGAGGGTGAGGCGTCGGTAGAGCGCGCAGCGCGAGGGCGGGAGGAGGGTAGAGGAGACGAGGGCGAGGGCGGGGAGGGAGGGCAGGGGGACGAATGTGGTTATGAGGAACCAGAGCTCGGGGGGGAGGGGTTTCATTGTTGCCCTGATATAATAAGGATCTGATGTTTGAAATTTAGGTCAATCAGCGATGAGGGGAGTGATCAACGTACTGCAGTTGTAGGTTATAACCGTACGTCTTCAAGTTGTGACAATGAGAACCCTTTGTCCGTCAATCCTAAATCCAAATCCAAATTTCCAAGAGGGAGGCACAGGTCAGGTCAGGTCAAAAACAAGAAATTTAAATGAAAAGAAAGCTCGACGTCAAAAGCAAGAAAGGAAAAGCAAGAAACACGTTCACGCTTCACATCATAGGTAAGTATTTGCGAGAAAAACAATACAAAAAGGTTATTATGGTTATAAATTCTCGGCGGAAATGGCGTGCAACATCGACCGTGGTGTGGTGGGGGATAAAGAGCCTGGATCTGGTGGGCAACCAATCATCGCCGTGGCAACCGTATGTCGTCGCGGAGCTAACGGTGATCCCCGGCGGTCCTTCTATTGACACTTTTATCTTATCTTCATGGGATCATTGGGACGAGATGATCATTCTGACTCTCATGTCGGAATCGGCAGATTACTTGTGTATGTTAATGTTGAAAGTATACTTGAAGCAACGGTCGACTTCAGCTTCAGCTTAAAGGACTGTATCTATGCAAGCAGCAAACTAGAAAATCACGAATCAATGGTCATTCCGAAATATGTAGCCTACTCGAACAAAATCTAATGTGTATGTATATAAGGTATGTATGCATGTGGGTATAATATATAAAAATTTAAACATTCGAAGAAGAAAAAAAAGAGATTTGAATCATACTCGTGGGCCGTACTCATACACTAGGACATCATCAAGCCCCCACAACCACCACCAAACCTCCCTAAAAGGTTCAACCCAACCCCCTAAATCGACGCAGACAACGCACTCAACCCGGGCAGACCAGGCAGACCAAACAGACCGGGCAACCCAGGCGCACCCGCACCCGCACGCGCAACCGGCAGGCCGGGCAACCCAGGTGCACCAGCACCAGCAACCGGCAGACCAGGCAACCCAGGCGTACCAGCACCAGCACCCGCACCTAGCCTACCAGCACCAATAGCACCAGGCACAGGCAAAGCCGGCAGTCCGCCCAGCGCCCCATTTACAGCATCAACGACAATAACCCCACCTTTGACGAGGACGCCTGAGGTGGTGCCTGTGATGGGCTTGAGGTCTGCTGCGGAGAAGGAGGAGGAGGATGAAGAGAGAGATAATTTGTTGTTGGATTGGTTGGAGTTGATGTTGGCGTTCGCGGTTTGACCCTGAACCTGAGCGTGAGCTTGGGCTTGCAAATTTCTACCCGTCGATTCCTGTTGAGCGCCGCTATTGGCGGTGGTGGTGATCTTGCCACCGATGTTGCCACCCTGACTAGCATGGAACGAAGTAGACAGAGCAGAAAAGGATTTCTCTCCTTGGCTTTTAGCACGCTGCGAGCCAGATAATGCCGCGTTGAATGGCTTGTTACCGTTGGATAAAGACTGAGCTTGAGATCTACAGCATGAGGGGAGAAGTTAGCATAAGCATGGGGAAGAAAAAGATAAGTTAAATAACACGAACCCGTTCGTCAATTCATCACCACAGCTATTCTCACCGCTTATCTCCTTCGAAGCACCCGAGGTCGAGGTCAACTTGGAGGATCCAGATTGCGCGACACCAGCACCTCCAGAGAACGAACCAGCACCAGCACAATCAGAAGACGACACAGCACCACCAGAGACCGCACGGCGCTCGACGCTGTCGATATCGTGCATTTCCACGTTCATTATCTTGTCTGCGTTGGATACTTCGTGGCCTCCGGCGATGACGGTGGCTTGGGTGTTGGAGGTGGACGTGTTGGTGCTTGATTTTTGCGCCCCGGTGGAGGTGGATGAGCCAGAGCTGAAGAGAGCGAATATTTTGGTTAGTTAAATACAGTCGTGTATGAATCAGCGATGTGAGAGCGATGAACATACCCGTTCGAGTTCGAGCTCTTTGATTCTCCACCTCCGTTGCTCAAAGATCCCGGAGCAGAAGAAGAGGAAGCAGAATCGCCGTTCTCCATGTTGCCGTTCGCCTGCTGACCCTTCACATCCGAGGTGCTCGAAGTAGTGCTGGCTTTTTCGTCGCCATTAGACGTTCCAGAGGCATTGGAATTGGAACCAGTCGAGATATACGTCCCCTGTCCCTGTCCCTGAGCACCACTAGCTTGTCCTCCACCACTAGCAACCGCCGATCCAATGAAGGTGTACGCGGGGCCAGCGGCATGGATGGAAGGCGTGGTGTGTGATACACCAGAGGCGGGAGTGGCTGAGACGACTGAGGCGTCTCCGGCCCCGGAGGTGAGAGGCGAGCCGACAACGCGGGTGGAGGCGAGTGCGAGGATGAGAAGAGCGGTGAGGCGTTGGATTGTGGCTGACATCGTTTTGTTTAAGTTGCTGTGCTGTCGACGTATACTGAGACCGGGATAAACTTGAAGGTTGAGGTGGTTTGGTAGTACAGAGAGGCGGTTGGGTGGGTGGGTGGTATGAGAAAGGAGGAGCTGAAGATGGTCGAAGAGCTGATGATGAAAGAAAGAAACGCGACGGGGGAGGGTTTTATAGATAATTTGGGTTGAAGCGTCATGGTCATCCAACGGTGGCTGACAGACTTACTTGCCTTGAATTAAACTGGGCTCTCTAGGTTGAATTAAGATGGCGAAATTAAAATATCTCCTCAACTGGTCGATCGTGCTGACAGAAATATCAACCGATCAAGTTTTCGACTCTGACAGTCGTCATTCGTATTTGCCGCATCGTCAAATGGTGCAGAGAACAGCCAGTCAGCGGCAGGATCGCATCCATTCATGTTTTTTTACACGTCAATCAATATAACAAAAGAAACAGTATACCATAACACCGTAATGTGAGCGAGAATCGGCACACGGAGTCACGACAAAAAAACTGGACGCTGAGGGGTTTGAACCCTCGACCTCACGCAGATCATCTGAAGATGCAAAGCGTGCGCCCTACCACTGTGCTAAGCGCCCATACTATGGCCGTTGCGTGTCAGGAGTAGAATCTGCAGGTCAACGAGTAGGGATAAAAAGAGGAGGTACATTATTGCATTTCAAATAAGAGTTACGAGTGTGCTGCCAGAACCAGAGATAAACGCTCACAGGAGAGCTCGCTTCTCGTGAATGAAGATATCAATATTACAGAGAGGAGAGGTTACTGACATCTTCGGTTTATGAATGTGTTAGGTTGCGGAGGCCTTGGCGGGTCACGACGAGAAACTCAAATCGAGAGAGAGTCCCGTCACGACCGCCCGGGACGACTACCAAGAGGTATGTCGAATCGAGGATTCCCAGAAACCTGACAAGTGAAACTCACGCGAAAGAGACGCCAGAAGGTCGAGGAAGAACCTCAGACCTCAGTGCGAAGGCGGGAACAACGCGCCAAAACCTGAACGCTGGGGGCAAATGTTGGACTGTTAGAACCAATCCAACGAGCCAATGCCAACGCTAGAGAAGGGAGTAGGAGGGAGGGACGCGAAATGTGAACGAGCACGAGTAAGCTAACACCACTGCAGGATTATGGCAGTAGTAAAAGATGAAGAGAGAAAAAATCGCGAGCCCTTGATAAAGATGAAAGGCTCGACGCGAAAGGATATATTATCATCAAGCCAAATACAGGAGAGGTAGACTGGTGACCATCCCTCGCGAGGCGCGAGGGCCTCGTAGAGGGACTGGCGAACCGGGGTTTCCCGGCCTGATGTTTTTCTTACGATCGAAAATGCCATCAATTTCCTTTTTCGTTTCGTGCAAACATAGAGAGCGACGCATCGAAGTGCGCACGCGTGTGATTTGGTGAGCGCGGGCATTCACTGTGGGATCTAAAATGGATGCGCAGTGAGAATTGAGCCGCCCATATAAAGGGTAACGAGGAGTAAGGAAACCACTTGATACCCACCATGTACAATCGCTACACGCTAGGACGTCCACAAGAGCCTGATCCGGACGAAAACACACCTCCAAACCCTGCAGCCACTCCACATGGACGAGATGTCTTCGCTTTGCAGACTGCTAGTGCAGCAGCAGCAGCGTCTACATCTCGAAAGACTTCACGAGCTGCGCCAAGCGCTCCAGGAGTGCCTGTACAACGAATCATGAGTGGTATTCCGCAAGAGCAGCTCATGACTTTCAGCATTGAGCCATCCCCAACTTCATTGATTGCAACGGATTTTAACCCATAACGTGATTCAAAGTCACTCGCTTGGGTTGATTGTAATCGTTTTAATGGAGAAATGACTAGGGTGATGTTGTTTTTTGTTGGATCTTGATAGAGCGCGCCAAGCGCAACAGGCAGGGTCTTTCCGCTACCAGTACCAGCGGATACAAGTACATCTTTCCCGTAGAAACACTCCGCTATCATTACCTTCAACTGCATTTCTCGAGGAACTTGGCTTTTAGATGACGCGATCCAATAGATCAGGCTGATACGCAGGCAGAAGATCTTCTCCGATAAGGGAAGGGTGTTGAGAAATTCGTGGAGAAGCCGTTCAGTTGGTAGGTTCTCCGTTGCTAGGCCTTGGATCTCAGAATCATAGGCATTTCGGATGAATTCAAGCTGTTTCTGTACATCTGGTAGGAGGAGGGACATGATAGATTGTAATAAAGATAATTTTATTATGATTTTACTCTGTAGTGGCCTCAAATCTGTTCTACACTTACTCTGCGCGCGACCAGGCGCGTCCTAATTAACGCGTCATTCTAAAAATGACTGAAATCACTTCACAAAGTCGAAACCAAAAAGGAAATTGATGGCATCAGGGGTTCTTTTTCGATCCTAAGAATAACATCAGGCCGGAAAAACCCGCTTTCCAGGTCCCTCTACGAGGCCCTCGCGCCTCGCGAGGGAGCTGTCACAGGTCTACAGGAGAGGGGGAGTGGTTCCCTATGTGCCACCTCGTTTCTTATCGTCAGATGAGCGGACCTTACGGTCCGCCTCATCGTCAATTTATATGTTCTTCCACACAAAAATACCAGATGCTGGTTTGGTTGTATATCACTATGTACCAAAATGTATTCCACTGAAACAAGGAAGAAGAAAAAAAAATGGACGCTGAGGGGATTGAACCCTCGACCTCACGCAGAATATGTATTCGTCGTATAAGCGAATGCAAAGCGTGCGCCCTACCACTGTGCTAAGCGCCCATATGTGTTGAGTCACAGAGGAAAAATGCGTACTATATATGTATTAGCGAATGTGAGGAGGTTGCGTTAGTACACTGCGAAACCCGGTATTCTAACTCGATGTACATATGGATCGACTTGGATCAGTCCGAGATCTAACTAGCATATAAAAAAAACAGAATCTGAAGCGAGCCAAGCAGCTCGAGATGGGTTTTTCGAATCGAAGGACTATCCAAGTGGATCAGTTCAAATTCAATAGCACTTGATTCGATTCAGCTTTCGCAGTTTTGAATCTCCCGACTCCATCTGTGACACCACCCCAAGCCACGGTCGTCCGTGAATTTCGAAACACTCACCCGGCTACTAAACAATCAGTACTTTATGACTTCTCCCTTGCAACTCGATGACAGTCCACAATCACGGTGTTGTTTCGTTCAAGTTGTATGCGCATACGTACGTATGTATTGCCACGATTTCACCGCATTCACTATCGTTATCCCTGCCTGATCCTACAAGGCTGTATACCTAAATAGCAGTATGATCACCCACCATGATCCGAAATTAAACGATACGATATGATATGAAGAGGACGCGTAGTGCTTATGCCAATGGGTGTGCTGAATTGGATTGCTGTGGTGGTTCCAGTTGATGCACATCGATACCGCAGCTCGTGATGGAGTCACATTATCGCGTGGAATCGTGATAGAGTCTCAATGGAAGCACAAAGCAGTCAAATCGATAAGAAGTGAGGAATGCAACCGGCAACGAGACGAATGGAATGATGCACAGAGTGTCAGGGACGACGCTGATGAGGAAAGGATGATCGCGTGTATCATGATCCACAGGGCTTTGAGGGCCTGATAACGCAACGCATAAAAATTTCAATCGCCTACTATACTCTTAGGAGTGTGTCAAATAACCTCGAGTGGAGTGCCTAATCGCTTGATTTGATTGATCATTCGTTATATTTGAATAAAAGTTTCTCGTCGATTGAAATTGAGGGGGCAACGTTGGAATTTAAAATGTGGGTCGGTGTACAACCTAATCGATGGGGACTCGGAGACGCGTGGGGGTACGTACGCACGTATGATAGTGCTGTTGTTGGCCTCGATGCTGGTGTGGGTGTGTAGGACGAGAGACTGTGGTGTTACATCGTACATATACGAGCCTCGCAGCAAACGGTGTGTAATCAACCACCTGACTGACTGCCAGTACTGACCCGTGCTGGGTGCGTGCATGGCATGCATGCCGCTCGACATGTTCTCCTAACCAATCAGCGTCAGCTGGAAACCACGCGATGAGCCTCGGGAAACACACTCCGAAGACAATGAAGTGACTCCCGAGTCCAGTCTTCTTTATGGATTTCTAAAAGCCCTGTGCGCGGTATCATCACAAAGTTACATTATAATAGAACTTCGAGGTCGAAAGTGTGCTATAAATTAGCTGCGCCGGTACACCACTAACCGGTACTCATCTCGGGAGCTTCGCCGAATACACGCACTCGCAGCATTATCAGTATTGCTAGAAGGCATTTCTTTTTCGATTCTCCGAAGTGTGTGCATTAGTAGTGCATGGATGTAATTACGGCCATTGAATGGAAGTATTTGTCTCTAGATCATGATCAATATTCAAGTTCAGGTTTCTTAAATCTGTTGTAAATCTTTGGCTTAATTCACTACCTGATTCGGAGGTGTGACACTCTCCACCGGTCGAGTCAACTTGAGTGTCGAACCCGACTCACGTTGGGAGACAGATTTAGATTTAAACCCTCGATTATGATCTTGATATTCACAGTCCATCTGATGACCACTGATCGCTGAGAATTAATCCATAAATCTCGGACTCTGAATCTATCACAGCATTCCTCCGGCAATGAACTGAGCTGAGGCACGATGTCTCAGTTCCGCAGAGAGACGCTATCGGAGAATTTCTGGCGTAAATGCCGAGTATAAGATACAGTCGGCGCGCATCTGACTTCAAAGCCCTAAACTTACACTTGATAAGAGAAAAGGTAAGTGTAAGTATTCAGTAGTCTATTTTTATTTTATATGTCTCTTTATGATAACCGCGGGTTTTAGTATTGTCTAGCACCCCTTTTGTTCAAACCTTTTCCGTGCCAGTTTATTTTATTGTCTTTTAACGCCTACCTTAGGGTCCACGTAGTATCATGGATACAGCATGCAAGAACTGATTCAAAGGAGTTCTTGTACTACCATCTCTACGACACCCTAGCAGAGACGTCATGTTTTAACCCCCAAAGTTAACCTAACGTTCGATCTTGTTTATGTACGATATGATATCGACTCAATGCCGCGTCATGTTCGAAGCTTCAAACGTCTTCCGACAAGTTAGCCCGTAGAACTCCACCATTTTGTGTCGCAGCAGCGTCGCTGTAGACTCAGGTGTCATTTAGTTAGGTTCGTAGTGTTCAAGCACTATATATAGGACAGGATTGGGATACAAAACGAGACATGATACCAGCTACGCACCATTTTGTAACCATCGTTTGAGCTCCTGGGGATGTCCGGCCACACTTGTATTTACCTTTCGTCGCTTGACTTCAAGTAGCCCCTCATCCAATAAGCAGCAAACAACGCTTGTTGTAACAATTCACGCCCTCATACTATATTGATAACAGCGCAGTGGCCCGTTACTATCTTCCCACGGAGTTGCTGCTCGCTGTGGTTCTATTGTTCTCTTTGCTCAATAGGCGCTTGACGCTTGGAATGCCCATATCCGGCAGGTAGTAATGTGCCAATGGTCTATCGTCAATAGGTTGAATTTATTTTCGTCCTTCGCGTTATTAGCATCGTCCATTGTTCCAATGACGCGTCTAACCATAGGCGCGCCTTGTCTGTTCGTATTACAGGGCAGAGTGTTTTTGACCCTGACTGTGCTGAATCCTATAAAACTGTAGTGCAAAGAGGTGTCCAAGTCCAAGTTAACCGCTGCCTCCTTCCTTTCAGAAACTCAGTCAACCAAACCTATTCAATCTTCACAGCACTATATAAAAAATGCAAAATGACTTTTCAATCCAACCCCAATTCGTATTCGAGCGTGGGTGAGTTCATAACTCGGAGATGCATGGCCAATTGCTCACTGCGGCACCTGTTACCCTTCGCAGGTCGCAGCTTATCTCTGGGGCAGATGAAACAACAATTCCTCAGTATGGTCCCAGTAATTTGTGGATGCTGCCTTTCAAATACCAGCACAAGGAGGTCGATTCTGAGCATGCAAACCCCTTTCAGCAAACCCTGACTTATAATCCGCCTTTGAATCCTACGACCTGGACAATGCCACCAGAGTACAACGTTGACTTCTAGAAAAGCAACTACACTTTCCACCACAAAGGCTCCAGTCAGCCTTGGGGCGACCTAGAACAAATTGCCGGTCTGAACTTCTCCAACGTCGGTGTTTGCGCACCTATCAGCCACGACAACAATACCGAAAACAAAATTCAAGACATGAACGCACAGCCTGTTAGTGAGCTTCACGAGATCCGCGGTTTTCTACAATCTGTTCAGTCTCGGCTGCTGGCACCTGAGTCATCAACTCCTGGCGCACCAGTTATGCCCAATGCACTGGGGCTATACATGGAGAGTCCGACCTTCGATGGTGAAGGCGGCATGAAGTGGATCCCAATCCCCGCTTTCGTATCAGGCTCGAGTGTCAAATATGGATGTATTGACGATGGTTCAACGTCCTTCGATCTTGACGTGACTATGGAATTTTGTCAGGACGTAGTAGTAGTGAGCCACCACCATGGTGGTCCCACCTGTAAGGTTTTCCTCCCCTTCATCGTCGACAACGTTGAAAAAGAAGACTGAGAATTCCAAGCGTCGTGATACCAAGAAGCCATACAGCCGCCGTAAATCCAGTCGAGCCAAGACCAGTGACTCAGACAGCACCAGCGGCTCTTCCTCTTCAACCTTCAGGCTTGCAACGAACCAAGTAGCGGCACCCAGATTCATGGGGTGAATGTCTGCTTCCTAACTGCACGGTGCACGTGGTGATGGGGAGTGAGCAGGGGGAAGTCATGGGCACAGCAGAGGGCTTCAGGGAGCATCTTCACAAGGTGCACGGGATTTCGAGATCGAAGAATGATAAATTTCGTATCACTTGTGAATGGCCCGGATGCCAATCTGTTATGAACAATGGCTCGCTGGCGAGGCACATCACAAAGCAGCATGCACCAAAGCCATCACAACGAGCATACAACCTTCTTCCCACTTATAATATCCATGCTTCATATTTCACCTCGTAGTTATAGTATCTAATTTATATTTTCTATTACTGAGTAGACAGTGCACAAAACGGCAGTAGAAAGAAAAATGGACGAGGACTTTAAATGCCATCAATGGCAACTCTTTCCGGCAAAAGCTCAACTTCATCGCTCTCTGAGCGACTAACATCAGTGACCTGCCACTCCACAATGTCCAAATTCCAGGGGACGCGTGCGCGGAGGTCTTCGCAATAGAAAGACTGGATTTTGGGCATAGCGTCTGCGATTTCTTTGAATTTCTGGAAGCGAGTCGGGTCTGATAGTGTCTTGTTGAGACGGAAACGGACATTTTTCAACGACCTGAACTCTCGAAGTACAGCGACCAGCTGTTCCTATTGTACAGGAACGGAATGAGGAAATTTCAGTTAGGCTCTCATTATCGATTACAGGTTCAAACTCACCCCGTGTAGACCCGCGAAAACACCTTCATTCCATGCCCAGTCTTCCAGCGAGGGAAAAATGCGTGCCATAATCTTCATTTGGCTGACGATGTACTTGGTATACCAGTTACGATGATGCTCTCCGACTTTGCGCAGGGGTACGTTGCAGGTAACCCGCTTCACATTTGGGAACCCGCCGTTCTCAAGTATCTTTACGAGACGGAATTCATCTGGTGGATCTGGTGATGCATAGTCCAGGATTTGGCGCTTAGTCCATCCTCCAGTTATCACCTCCTCAACCGTGAGCAATGACTGAACCTTGCTCAAAGCCATTGTTGATATAGTTTGAAGGTGAGCAT